CAAATAGAACCCCTTGTGACTCTGCATATATCACTCTGGCATGTAGGCTTGGTCTGTGCTAGAATTGTTGTCAGTGGAGTTGCGTCTCTTGGAGGTATGAGAAATCCACACCCCTGAGAAGTAGCTCTTCTGATTCTACCCCAGCGTAGACAGTACTGGGTTGATGGAAGACTTTGTTGGGCCAGCTGCCGGCAGGGCTGACTGGAGGATCCCGTTGGTACAGGCGGTTTCTGACAGTGCCATGGCGGCACAGGTGAGCGCTGTAGCATTTAGTGTAAAGCTGCCTAAGTCAGAGCATGGTAAGTCCATTCTATCTGAACTTGAATCTTAAAGGTGCTCTCTAGGGAAAACCCTTTCTGCTGCCGTTGTACAAAAGCCTGGCAACTGACTTCTCCCTGCTTTTTGTCAGCCTGCACTGCTGCTCAGGTCAGCACGGAAGTTGCTTTTGAGGGCTTGCTTACACTTAAAATGCTGCAGCGGTGCTATAGTGCCAGAGTGAAGACGCTGCCTGTGCTGACACTGGGGTTCTCCTGTCTGTGTAGGTACTCCTCTCCTCAGTCTAGCCGCCACCTCTCGGGTGAATTCTGTCTGTGCCAGTGGAATGTGGATTTTCATACCCCTGAGGAACATAGATATCACCTTAATTTCCTAGTGTAGACCAGGCCTGAAGCTATAGTCTTCCATATGCCCTGCAGAATGGCTGCTTGCATGCTTCCTGCCATGTTCATTAACCCTGACTAGCCCTAACACAGGTTCCCTGCTTTCCTGTGCTTCCTCAGAGCTCTCAGGTGCCTGTATCCCTAGAGACGATATTGGGGGAGTAGGTCTTTATTTGGTTTCCCTGGACTGAGTCCAATTCAAGGTCTTCCTGTTCATCTTCAGGGTGCTCAGTGATTTGGGGCCAGCACTTCTGGAAGACGTCAGGGAAAGCCCCTTTCCTTGTGCACCATGGGGCTGTCCGCTGCAGAGGGGTTAAAAAGATGTTAACACTCAAGTGGCTAAAATCTGTTCCACTGGTCACCCCACTTCCACCTCCTGGTACTGCAGGAGTTGCCTTAGTTCAGGATCCAAAATACCTCCATTTCTAACCCAAAATCAAGAAGAGGGGTTAAGGCTAGAAACTTTTCAAAGTTAACTGCCTTTGAAGCTAGGAAGCAAAACTGAGGAGGTTGCATTGGCGTATAGTCAAATGGTTTCAACAGGTGCAAAAGCCGTGTGGACAGTTATTTTGGTTTTAAATGGCTCTAATCCGTTTATGCTAATCCAAGCCGTACACGGGGATTTGCGCTGGGTTAACTAAATTCTTAATATAGTGCCTGCCATGAAACTGCAACTTTCTCATGTCGCTGGTGCTGGTGTCTCAAGTTGGCACAGGAGCAAGCACATTGAGTGAGGGAGGACCATGGGCTATACGCTTGAGTTTGGGATGAAGACTTGCTAGGTCTTGCCATGCCAGGTGGATCCTGTCTTCTGAGCCAGTGATAGCTGCGCTTACAGGAAAGAACTTTGTAACAGGCCTTCTTAAAACAAAACCAGTTCAGCTCCTCTCTCCTTTCTTTTGGCTTGCTCTGGTGCAGATGGCAGCATTTCTGGTGCGCTAGCTTTTCCATCTGACCACTGCAGACTGACTGCAACCACTAGGTGTAAATATGGGAGGTAGTATAGGTATATGAAAGGCTGTGCAATAGTCCCAAAGAGAACTACCTTTTGCACAAGTCTAAGCAAATATTTATTGACCAAGCTCATGTTCTGTCTTCAATAGAATTGCATGCTTTCCTGTTTTCCATCTGTTTCATGGGAGTTGATTTTATGGCTGGTAGCTGCAACAGCCTGGCCTGTGCCAGCGATGCAGCAGTTGGTGTATGTGTTCTGTTCTTGTGCTATGAGCTGGCTTCGTAGCCAGTTTGCTAACGGCTGTGTAGTCCAGGGTTGCCTACTGAAAATGACTCTGTTGCCATGCTAGGGCTGGGCTGCAGGAATTGTATCTTCCTGCCTCTGTTTGAAAGCTTCCCTGCAAGACTCGGTAAGTGGGTAAGTCTCGTGCACAGGTGCACACATGCCCACAGGAGCATAAGCTCCTGGCTGCACTGGCATTCTGTGAGCTGGGGGCTACCTGCCCCAGCCATCCAGAGTAGCACAGCCCAAAGCATGGCACCTTGCTCCTGGAGCAGTAGGGGCTGGAGAATGTACTACACCACTTCTGGGTGGTGCCAGGGAGAGCAATGCTCTCAGGTCTCCTGACCTCTTCTGGAAGGTCACTGAGGCAGGGCCTCTGAGCACAGCAACAAGCCAAGAGTTAGTTATGCATTTCCTCCCTAAAGTCAGGCTACTGCTCGGCTGCCATTCCCGTCACTAGCTGCTGACTGGAGTGATGGACGGGCCACGCAAGCAATCTATCATGTTCTGCAGCGGCTAAAGACATTAGTAGCCCCAGGACAGGCCAGAGAACCACCATCATGCAAGCGCCAAATTGGCTGAGTTCTGTACGTAGATTTTACCAGCCATGTATCAAGCATCAGCTCCTTAGCTGGTACCAGGTGAACTTGTCTCATCACCCAGGGGGTTATTTTTGTGATAGTCTCTTACTCCATGAATCACTAAAATATTCAGATTACATGAGGCCAGAGGACCAATCACTTGTGTCAAATCAGTTGCAGCTTGGATCTCTCACCGTAGACTATGCACTTAAATAAACCTGCTGAGTGTTTTAGGATTAGCTAATAGGAAAAAAGAATGAGTTGCTTATAAGGTTAAAGCAAGCACACACAAATGAGTTACAATTTTCAGTTTCAAAAGGTAGTAAAAGCTTCAGTAATAAGCAAGCTCTGTCCCCTTTAGGGCTAAACCAGGCTCATCACCTGTGTTCTCTTGGGTTTGGGATGATTTTCTGCCTAGAAAATCTTGCCTCCAGAGTCCAAGCAATATTCAGTATAGTTCCTTGTTGTTTTAGGGGTTTTAGTTCCTTTCCTCCCTCTGTCTTTGAGTTGCAAACTCAGTCAATGGGAGAAGTTACTTGCTGGCTTCACCTTCTGAGAGACCTCTCCTGTTCCTGTGTCCATGGACCTTGTCAGACATGGCAAAATGCCGTTTCTCGGAGACCAGCGTTTTGTGCTAGTTAATACCTCTCTGCTGTCTGACTTAGAGGCTTACGATGCAAATGCTTGTCTTACAATACTGTAAATGAGACCATGGAATGCTTGAGCTGCTGCATGTATTATTCGAATACCTGGTCTAACAGTACTAACGCCGTGGAGCCGGTCCTGGTTCCAGCTCTTTCAGCATGCAGCTGAGACATGGGGACCTTGGCATAAGCTGGCACCTGGTCTGTCAGGATCACAAGTGCTGTTTCCACCCTCTCCAAGGGAAATCATTCCTCTAGATTTCATGGTTGTCTCTTTTTTGTGAGAGGGCGTGATTCGCTCCACTGCTTTGGTCACTGCATCGGATCTGCTGTGTGTAGATCTCCAAGCCTAATGGTGACAATCAAGTGAGGATCTCATTCTCCAACAGCCAGTGGGAGGCTTAGGCACAGTCTGACTCAGTACACCGTGCTGGAAAATGTTAACTGGGCAAGAGGAATTTGTTGTTAGCCTGCTAGTGGCATCTGGCTAGCCCTGGGGCCTAGGGACATGCCCTGTGACTTCCCTGTACCTCAGTGTCCCAGGTTTCTTTTCATGTCCCTCTAGCACAGTGGTTCCCAAACTTTTTGGCATCATGGCCCCCTTTTTGATTTTTGAAAAACCCTCGTGGATTGCTTCACGCCCCCCCCAGTTTGGGAACCCATGCTCTAGCAAGTGAGGTGTCAGCTGCTGTACATGCTTGTACATGGTCTCTTCAGAAGAAGCAAGTTTATACAGTAAGTCTGACTGACCTTGTATTTCATCAGTTCATGATCAAAGAAATGATGGAAAGGTCACTTCCCATAACTTAAAATCCACCTACGGGAAGCCCCTGCTTCACGCCCCCCCCAGTTTGGGAACCCATGCTCTAGCAAGTGAGGTGTCAGCTGCTGTACATGCTTGTACATGGTCTCTTCAGAAGAAGCAAGTTTATACAGTAAGTCTGACTGACCTTGTATTTCATCAGTTCATGATCAAAGAAATGATGGAAAGGTCACTTCCCATAACTTAAAATCCACCTACGGGAAGCCCCTGTCGCCCCCGACTGCATGCAGACAAAGCAAGGAAGGCCACTTGCATTCAAGCATTGTGTTTGGAAATCCTGTATTGGCACGCATGTACCTGTACTTTGGATATGCCAAATCTCAGGGCCAGGTGGCCTCTTGCACATCTGGTGCTGCAAGGCTTTTTGCAGTAGCTGTTACCTGATCACAGGACTGGTAGACAGGAACAAAGTCCCATATCCCATTAGCCTGCTGACTTGTGCAGCCCAGGCGAGGCACTTGACCAGGTCCCCATCTCCTACAGATTAGTGTTTTGAGGGGTGCTCTGATTTCAGCAGTCATCCTTCGTACTGACAAGTCTGCTCATCCATTCTCTTGACCGTTTTCCTTGGACACAGAACCACTGTCCTGAGAGGTGGCTGTAAGCATAGAGGCCTAAAGGTAAACCTAGCCCAAGTATTGAATGTAAAACAGACTGCGGCTGTAAGTCATACCTTGTTCAATGTAGGCCAGTCAATATCTGATGTACAGAAGAACAGCCACGCTGGGTCAGACCAAAGGTCCATCTGGCCCAGGCTCCTCTCTGCTGACAGTGGCCAATGGCAGGGGCCCCAGAGGGAGTGAATCGAACAGGGAATGATCAAGCGATCTCTCTCCTGCCATCCATCTCCACCCTCTGGCAAACAGAGGCTGGGGACACCATTCCTTACCCATCCTAGCTAATAGCCATTGATGGACCTAACCTTCATGACAGGAGGTGGGGGGGATAATTCATTGCAACCAATAAGCCAGAGGAGTCATTTGCTGTGCGACAAGACTTTGCTGGGTACAGTAAGAACATAAATGGCAAGGCACTAACACTTTGACTTCTCCTCAGAAGGAAGAGATTGGGAGGACCACCAAGGACTGCTGGGATAGCCCCGATGCACCTGCACTCTCGACTTGCAGCAATGCTGATATCTTCCGCAGAATAAATGCCATGTTGGATAACTCTCTGGATTTCAGTGGAGTCTGCACCACGCCCATCACAAAAGGAAGAAGTGACCTTTTGCCAGGTGACTTAGCTCTCTGTGCTCTTGTGGGCACCAACCACCCATGTCAGATGGCTGTAATAGAGGGGATTCCATAGCTAGCTGTAATACGTAAGAATGTCTTGCATGGTAGTTCTGAACATGACTCTTAAAGAGTATTAACAAGTGGTTACCTAGGGGAGGTGGTGCAGTCTCCACCCTTACAGGTTTTTAAGGCCCGGCTTGACAAAGCCCTGTCTGGGATGTTTTAGTTGGGATTGGCTCTGCATTGAGCAGAGGGTTGGACTCAATGACTTCCTGAGGTTTCTTCCAGCCCTAATTTTCTGTGAATCTAAGTGGGTGGGGGTGTACTTAAAGATGACTTATGAAGGAAATCACTGCAGTTCTGGGTGTGTACAGCCCTGTGATATGTAAGTGCCTAAGTCTTTCTTTCAGCAATTTTTTTGCTTGTTTCTACCTTAGAGGTATCAGGATCAGGTCTTCTGCTGGAGGTCTGGTCAGGGTCTTAATTCTGGTTTACATGCAGACTCGCACTGAAACAACTAAGCTGTCAGCTTGCAGGGGTGCTAATCTGCTCGGTGCAAGACTTATTTTGGATTCAGTGTCCTACTTTGTTTAAATGCTCTACTCGTCTTCGTGGGCTGCAGCGCTTCAGAGGAGGCAACTGTGCTTGCAGGCTGCACTGAGCTTCTCCAATTGATGTTGTTGAGCCCCTCCGTGTGAGGTGGTAGCTGGTTGATGGGAGATGTTTTCATACCCCTGAGTGAGGTAGTTACACCAATATAGGTCTGTAGTGTAGATCTGGCTTTAGGCCTGGTTGTTGCGAAGATTTCACCATATAACAATACTAGGAAAATGCTCCCCTAGTGAAGAATCGGCTTATACTGGCATAAAATGGCTTCTGTGCTGTAATAGCTTATGCTAGTTCAGTCACATAAGCTGTACTGGCGGAAGCAATTTTATGCTAGTATGGCCATACAAATGCAGAAAACCCTCACACCCCAACACTGCTGTACTGACAAATGTCTAGTGTTGACCTGGCCTCGATCAGAACAAGTATCCAGACTTGCACCGAAACAGAGGTGCAAAATAAAAACATAATGGAGCTGAGAAACCTGGACTTCATTTGACAGGACAGAAAGTTTGGTAGCTTTCCAACTGCTTACAGGTCATTTGAGACACAAGTCTGTACTGTCCTTGTATAAATAAACATTTCCATAGCCACTAATTAGGCTGCACTTGTTTATTACCAGTCACAATTCTGGTTTCTGGTTTGCCAGTGTCTTCTAATGGATAGGAGCTTTGGCTGCTTAAAAGGCAGACCAGCTCCTCTGAAAACGCACTGAGGCATTCTTTGAAGAGATCTTATCTTTGCAGATCTACTACATGGCAACCAATGTCTGCCATGGTAGCTAGTAGTAAGTTGCTGTGTGGTATACTTCACAACTACTGGTATATTCTGGATTACTAAAGTAGTCCTTCAGGCCACCTTCTCTGTCACACCCAGGATTTTGTTACTGCCTATCTGTGAACTAGCACATTGGACCCAAGGCAAAGAATGAGGACTGGGACCCTGCCTCAATTTCTTTGAGGTCCCAAAGAGAAGGAGTTTATTCATCTGGTCTGCTGCTAGTAAACTGCTCCTAGGTCCTTTCAGCCAGTGCATCCCTGTGCTCTGATGGAGGAAGAGCAAAGAGTTACGAGTGTATCCTCCTCCAGAGGCAGTGTGGAACACAGCTGCTGTAAGATGGTGTTAGCTAGGAAATTGACTGGACAACTTACATGTAATGGTCATGTCTGTCACTCAGCCAGTGTGTTCTTGGCTCCTTGTAGAGAGTTTTCTTGACATATAACAAGGCAAACTATGGGACTTTAGCATAAGTGTGCCTTAATAAGTATGCTGGTGCTAAAATCTGAAACTTCATACATGATCAAAGAGTCTTCCATTCCAAGCACTATGTAATAATGACAATATTATGCAGCCTTGTTCCCCGACTTGCACAGCGTGCTGTGGTCTTCATGGGCTTCTCTTTCCAAAATAGTTCTTGTGTTGGCAAAAGCTATAACACTGACTGAATGAGAAAATAAAAATACTTAAGAGGTCTCTAGCCTGCTGGGACCAGAGTAAATTGTCAGTATCAGAACTCATTCTCTGCAACAGGAGGCTAAAATCATTTCACCTAAGAGGATAAAAAATTAACAGGAGTGTTGTGAGCAAGACACAAGAAGGTATTCTTCCACTTTACTCTGCCCTGATTAGGCCTCAGTTGAAGTATTGTGTCCAGTTCTGGAGAAAGTGTGGAGAAGAGCAACATGAATGATTAAAAGTCTAGAGAACATGAGCTATGAGGGAAGGCTGAAAATTGGGTTTGGAAAAGAAAAGACTGAGGAAACATAACAGATTTCAAGTACCTAAAAAGGATATTGCATGGAAGAGGGAGGAAAAATTGTTCTCCTTGACCCCGAATGATGGGGCAAGAAACAGTGGTCTTAAATTGCAGCAAAGGAGGTTTAGGTTGGACATCAGAGAAAGCTTCCTAACTGTCAAGGTGGTCAAACATTAGAATAAATGGCCTAGGGAAGTTGTGGCTCTCCAACATTGGAGATATTCAAGAACATAAGAACGGCCATATTGGATTAGACCAGTCTGTCTAGCCCGGTATCCTGTCTGCTGACAGTGGCCAATGTCAGTTGCTCCAGAGGGAACAGAACAAGTAATCAAGTGATCCATTCCCAGTGTGACTGACTAGGGGCACCACTCCTACCCATCCTGGCTAATAGCCATTTAAGAGCAGGTTAAATAAACATGTCAGGGATGCTCTGGACGGTGCTTGGTCCTGTTGTGAGTGCAGGGGACTGACTGGACTGGATGACCTCTTGAGCTCTCTTCCACTTCTAGTATTCTGTGATTGCAGAACTGGCATGTGGATAAAGCTGACTTGTTTAAAAAATCACAACTAATCATTGATGCACCAAGAAACAGGATTTATATAGACTGCAGCTTTGTAAGGTTTCTGCTTCATGAATGTGGGAGGCCATCTGGGATAGCCGGTCCAAAACTTTATTCCCACTTCATTTGCAGCACTACTGGTACCTTAGATGTTTCTAAAGTTGCACCTACCACATCCTAAAATTGCATGGTACTTTCACGGCTGAGTGCATTCCTTACTCTGTGGCTCAGCTTGAACAGGGGTAAGTCGGCTTACTTTGCTCTTCAGTGGCTTTCGTGCATCTGCGCAAAGCCGCATGGTTTGGGTGGCAAAGCTTTGCAGGGCAGTGCATAAATCCAAACTGCTGCCGGTGGCATACAATTAAGTATTAGTGTGGGTCTCAGTTGTTTTAAACAACCTAAAGTTTAATCTGAGCTACTGACATGCCCCACCAAGGAGTGGGGGCTCTTCCCCCACCCTTGAGCCAAAGAGGGACATGCTGCAGGCTCTGAACTGCACTAAATGGTGGTCATAGTTCCATGATCTTGTAGCAAGTGTGGTGCTTAGCTCCTGTTAAGAGATTGACTCGACATGGCCAATGTGATTTGGGCAATGGGCCACAAGACCAAGCTATCAGCAGCCACCTAAATCTGAAATGGCCACACCATCCATAAGCATGGGCTGCTTAGCTACCTGTCTCTTCTTGGCACAGGGGAAGATGCTTTTGCTGAAGGAGCCGTTCCTTATCTGGTTTAGTGCACCAGTTGCGTTCATATTGTGGAAAAAGCAGCCCTGAGTGCGCACTTGCACTGGGACAGGGCATTAGTCTCATCTGTACCAGGTCATGGCTTTTTCCTTAAGCTAGAAACATTAGCATTGTGCAAGTAATCACTAGTCAGGAACAGCAAATCTCAGTGTCCATGTGATTCTAACTCTGTCCCTGTGCAGATGCAGTATGGTAAAGATCACTTACTGCTTGTTGTAAACAGTGTAGACAAGCCCTTTGTGTGTTTAAATGTGAATTCCCAAATACCTTAGATGCTGACAGCCTTAACTCTTAGTCAGTTTTGTTATGGGGCAAAACACTTTAGAAAGTAAATTCTTATTAAATGGCCTAAACTTGTACCTAGTATGTTTGTGCAACCCAGGAATATGTATAGACATGTACGCTTGGCACTAGATCCACAAAAGGATTAGGGTGCCTGTGTCCAAATTTCAACCTCCTTGTCCAGCTGCTATCTAACCCTACAAGCAGCTAGTCCCATGGCACCTAAACTGCTGGACATGGGACTCCATGAACCCTGCTGCTTAGCCCCAAGCTGAGTCCCAGCAGTGGGAGAATCCCTCCTGGCAGCATAGTCCTGTCTACACAAGAGCTTCAGTGGCACACATCCATAGGTGCTTAACTTCCTTTGAAGGCTGGGGTTAGGCCGCCCCATTTCCTATTGGCTAGCTGAAGCTACTGCCTGCTCAGCTTGCTGTCTTCTGAGGCCATTCTCTGGTGCCAGCTCTACCCTGGCAGTGTCTAGGGCGCCTAGAAGCTGAACTTGAGGCTGTGGATTCTGTTAAGTGGCAAGTGGTAGTCACTGTGAGGTGGAGTCTAGAGACCAATGGGGATCTCCCCTGCGGGGTTGCCCAAAGAACCGGAGCCGCCTTGCCTTGTGTGAAATGAGGGCTCTTAGTGGAGGATGGTTCTCTCATCCAGAGGTGTGGGATGCAGTCTTCACTTGTGTGCTTTGGGGGCTCGCCTGGCGTGGAAGGTGGAACTTGTCAGGGATGCAGGGGGGTGCTTGGCTGGACCATATGCGTTGGTTTGATAAGTTGTGTGTGGAGGCAGCCATTGGTTTGTCTGATCTGAATGTCTGGTGGCTGTGGCTGCAGAGATGAGCTTATACAACTTAAAGGGGCGAAAAGGCTTTGACCGCTAAATCTCCCTAGAAAGCTGCTTGCTGGAGAGCTAGGGAGGTGGTGGTGGAACGCAGATCCTGGCATCTTCCTGCATGACCTGTACCCATCTTCTGCAAAGCAGGGGCCCTCTTAACAGTTAACATGCTTGTCATTGTCCATTCAGCCATAGTGTCTTGCTGGAAAACTGTAGATGACCTGAATTGCTAGACTTAAAAATAAATTGAAGTTGGATTTTCAGGCCTTTCCTATTATAGCAAAGAGGACACGAACACATTCTTTCCTCTGCAGGTCACCTTAAGATGCCATTGGAAGAGTTAATCCGGGCAGTCATTCTGCTGAAAATGTCTGGAGGTCTATAGGATATTCTCCAGTTTGCTCTATATTGACCCCGGGTGTGCAGGGTCTGGCTTGAATGTGCTTTCTAGTGTAGAGGCTCTTGGCCTGGGGTACACAGGCCTTCCTGTGAGTATGTCAACTTGTCTAGCCACTTGTCTGGTTTTAATCAGACTACACAAACACTAGTGAAATTGGCACACACTGAAATGTCAGTCCAGTGACGTGCTTCTATGGCTCTCTACTGAAATGCAAGTACAAAATAATGATGAAAATCAGTTAGAATGATGCTATGGTACGAATGTCACTTTTCAGTATTCATCTGAGTTGGTAAGCAAGGAGGGGTCCAGGTGTCTGTAAAGGCTGAGCCATTGCTTGAATTCACAGCACTTTCTTTCCTTCTATTTAACTTGTCCTGATCTTCAAGTTTGTCACTGTGGTAGTTTTAAAGCACGAGTTATCAGTAGGAAGATGGTAGCCACAGGTATGGACTTTGGCAGATGTAGAAATGTTGCATAATCATGAGGGCTGTGTTGTGGTTGCTGTGGGAACTGAATTGTCTGAATGTTGCTTGAAATTCTTCCCCATAATGTGGTGCTAGACAGTCTGTCGGGCCTCCTCTGAAACCAGTTTTGCCTCTAACTAGGCTACTAGAGCCAGGGCGGCCAGTGGCTATAGGCGGACTCGGCCGCTGCCTAGGGTGCCCGATGATGACGTCAGTGCATTGATGGCCCTGCAGGCGGGGGTGCCGATGGCGCACTTCGCCTGGGGCGCCAGCTGCTGCAGCCGGCCTCAGGCTGCTCCTGACTAGAGCCAAATGGTTGCACCCCTTTGTATGGCTGCAGGTAGAACACAATGCGTACCTTGGCGTCGTCAACTCCTGTACAGGAAGGGGAATAGGCTGCACCAAAATTGCATGCAAAACTTAACATTGGAAGATCAAAGACTGCAAAAGCAAAGCACTCTGTTTGCAAAGGCCAGCACCCAGGCTGCCTCTGCATCTCCAGTTCTGTCCCCTTGTGCATCTGTTTCATGGTAGTCTCGCTGCACGATCACACACTGTCTTTTCCACAAGGGACGGTGCAGTCGGTACACAATAGGGATGGTGCTCAGTGAGCGAGTAGCTGTACAGTGTTCTCTCCTCCAGGAATGTAATCCTATGCCTCGTCCTTCATGCTATTCAAACCAGCCTCTGCAGGCAGAATGGTTTCCTCCTGGGCTCTTCTGTGGTATGCTACAGGTATCTGAGGCTTCACAAGCATCTAGGAACTTGTTTTCACAATCCCCGTCAGGTGAGGGAGTGGTGGTTCCCCATTGCCCAAGATAGGGCAGAAGTATTCCCTAATTTGGATACCCAATTTGAGACCCTTACGACCAGATTTGTTTCAGAACCTGTAGCACGTCAGTCGTCGTACAGCTCCCATTTGAATGGATTTGCAGCCAAGAGTGATCGGTATGTGTCCATCAATCGAAGGTTTTAAATTGGGCACGCAGGCAATGAGGAATGTTAATGACCACCTAGGATGTTTTAAGTGGCTGTCCCCCTTCACTGAGGAATTCTGTGGGAGAGGCAGGGATAGAACCAGATTCGTCAGAGGAGCATTTAACTGCCTTATCCGCAGTCACCGGCCTCTCATCTCCCAACTTCCTCTGCTAATGAGGCTGTGATCCTACAGGCTCACTTGTGAGTAGCCCTTGCCTATCCCAGCAGCTGCAATCCTTGCAGTGAATGAGACAGGGTCCTGTGGAAAATGGCCTTGCTCTTCATCAGCTCTCGGTTCCCCCTTCCCCACTAATTCCTTGTGCTGTCCGCCTGATGGAGCAGGCAGAGAGGGGCTCTTGGTTCCACTGGCCAGCCCTGCCCCGTCTCCAGAAAGCCATTACTGAGAGCCACGCTGCACCCCTTGGCCAGCAGGACATGTGCTGTGAGGCTGGACTGTGCATTGAGGATGGAATCTTGTTTAACAAAGAAAATCCGGGAGGTTTCCGCTGATCACGTGTGACCAACAGTTTTCAGAGGCTTGTCGCTTGTGTGGCTTCAGAGGGAAGGTAAAAGGCACATGCCTGACCCCATGGCTGCCGTTTCCACGTTCCAGGGCCCTTCTCCAAAGCATGGGGGTACTAGAGCATCTCCGATCTCTAGAACTAACACAGGAAATCAGGATTTCCCCAGCCTTGCTCTTGGAAACTGCTGAACGCTCAAGCTGACTCCTGAGGGGATGGCTGGGGAGGCTGCCACCTGGCGTGAGAAGCCACGTGGGTAGGCTTGTTTTTTTTTGGGGGGGGGTGTTACATGTAGCTCTGAAAGGCCTTGAGGTTGCCTAATACTTCCCATTGTAGGCAGGGAAGCCTCTTCTATTGCAGTGGTTTTCAAAGTATGGGTCACGACCAGGGTTGGGCTGCTATGCTGTAGGATCATCAGGGGATGAGGGGATGTTAAACATACCTCCTGCCTGCCCTGGCACCATGGGCCACGCTGCACCCCAGAAGAGGCCAGCAGCAAATCTGACTCCCAGTGCTGCCCCAAACCCCGCCTCCAGAAGGGGCAGTGCCTGCCAGTGAAAGCAGCGTGCAGAGCCGCTTGTGCCTCTGCCTGGGAGCTGGACCTGCTGCTGGCTGCTTTGGAGGTGGCAGGGCAGACAGGTCCGAGGTGCCAGGGCAGACAGGTAGCCTGCCTGTGAGCCAGTGGAGGTAACCCCATGCCCAGTCCCCTGGCCAGTCTGGAGCCACCTCAGATCCTCATTCCCTGCCAGGCCCTGGAGCTTGCGCTCTGATCAGGAGAGAGCTCTGTTGGATTGTGGGCAGTTTTCTTCCACTGGGTTGCAGAGTTTGAAAACTGCAGTTCGACTGTAGCACAAGCCTGGTTCTAGCTTAGGGTATTTGGGTGGTGCCTGCTCCTGGAGCTGCTAGGCATGTAGGCCAGTAAATCACTTGGCTTGTGCTGTGGGGCTGAAAGGGGGGGCACAAGACTGAGTGCCAGATTGGGGGGACGCAGCCGTAGTTCCAGGTGACAGGCAGGAGTCCCTGCAGCACCCTGCTGACAAGCCTGGGTGGGGTGCCCATCAAATGGCTTGTGATGGGTGGGGCATAGGGCTGGTTCACAAGTGCCCCGAGGGACTCAATTTGGGGTTAGGTAGCTGAGCTTAATCAGCCCCTAGGTCCTGCGCCAGACTGGCCTTCTCACCCGGAACTGCCCACATTCCTCTAGCAGCTTGGACCAGGCCCCCAAAGTGAGGCAGGAGTCCAGCGTCGTCACTCGCTGTGGCTTGACCCCCCTCCCCCTGCATGGGAGGAGTGAGCTGGGGGTGGGGAGGGAGTGGGAGCCTTGCGCTGCCTTGCCCGGATCCCTTCCCCACGTGACGTGCCAGCTCCGCTGGCCTGTGATAGAATGCGCTGTCCCTCTCGCCGAGGGCTTTGAAGGGTATCCGTATTGTTGAATAGCAAACAGTGCCGAGTCAGGGAGGCTCGGTGGCCAAGTTGCAGCAAACAGATGATGCTAGCAGAATTGTGAAGCGCTGCGTTGGGTGGCTGGTCGGGGCTGGAGCCAGCTGCTGGAGTCTGTCCAGGACTAAAGTGTGTTGGGGTTTGTGGGTGGAGGGGGAGGGGCGGCGACAGGCAAGCTGGATAGCACTGAAACTCATGGGGCTGAGCTGTCGCTGCTGCCGGGGATTGCTGTCTCGAGCCTCTTTGGCTGTGCTGGCGCTCACGGCTTTTGTGCTGCCTGCCTCCCTTGATTTACCGTGGCGGAGCCTTTTCCTTGCTGCATGCTGCCTTGTCTTCCAGGGGAAGTGCTCCTCTACCTTGATTTTGTAATAAATGATGCGGTTATATTGCATGCCCAGTGACGTCACTGTCAGCACAGTAAGCATCAGCAGCCTGATCACATGCTGGCCCAGTCAGTAATGCAGACGGGATAGAAGGTGGAGGGAGGGCAGAGGTGGGAGGGGGCTGGTTCCTGGACATATGGCAGTCTGCCCCTTTGGGGTGCAGTTGTCAGTCTGTCAGTAGCTTCTCCATCGGGCAGGAGCTGGCTTCAGGCTTTGGCAAACTCTGGCTGAAAATCCTTGAACTCGTCAGCTTGTGTTTGTTCCACCTGAGCAGACTTCCAGGACTCTGAAGGAACAGTGGCAAGCAGGATGCTTTTCCCCACCTCTGCGCAAGAGTCTCCCCGTGGCCTGCCGGACACGAACGACCTATGCCTGGGCCTGCAGTCTCTCAACCTGACTGGGTGGGACAGACCGTGGAGCACCCAGGACTCGGATACTGCAGCGCAGACCAGCACGCAGTCCGGTGAGTTGCTCTCTGCTGACACGCAGCAACAGTTGTTGATGATTTGCTTTTGTGAAAAGTGAAGCTGCTGTTGCCCAGAAAAGTGTAAGTACTGGCTGAGGGATTGCCCTTGGCCTTGTAAATGCTGAGTGTAATGGAGGGAGAGGTCGGGGGACAGAATGAGGGGGGATTGGTGAGTACTCCAGTCTTGGCTGCCGAAGTGAAGAATAACTTCCAAATACTCAGGCTTCTCCTGCAGTGTCTGGGGAGAGATGAATGTGCAGATGAGCAAGAGGATTGATTAGTCTGCTGGTACCTTCCTAGCAAGTAGGTTAGGGTATATTTAGAGACTGAACTAAACACCTAGCCCGAGCCCCACTGCAGTGTGGTAGTGGAGTTAAACTCCGTTCCAGACAAATAGACTAGCCAGTTGCTACTAGGGCAAAATGGGGCTTCTGGGGGCTCCCCTGTGCCCGGTGGCAGGTGCTGCTGCAGCACACAAGCTTAGGGTGTGCACTCACTGGGGTGGGGATGTGGACTGAGCTCTGAACTCAGCCAGAAGCTTCCCAGCTTGGTAAAAAGCTGGGAGGGACAGTCTCATTCTCTCTGGCCTCAAACGAAAACAAAGCGTCCCTTTCCTTGTGGTGTTCAAACCCAGCAGCTTGCGTTGGAGACCTGCAGACTAGCGCTCGGCTTTGCAAGGGTTAAATCTCTACCCACCGGCTCTTGTTCTGCCCTTCCCCTTTCCAAATGCTGTTCACCCTGGCTTTCAGTGGGCTGGAGCTCGCAGCAGGAGGGAATGCTCTAGATCCGGGCACTGATACGCTTCAGGAAGCCCACTTTCCGTGCTCCTCACGTCTCTGGATTGGGGTTAGTGGTCTCCTTGTGCTGTGGTCAGGTAGCGTGTGAGGGGAAGGTGGGGACTCGTTTTCCAAGCCCTTCCGATAAAGCTCTGGAAAGAACGGCCTCACAGATGGTGTTAGTGACTGAAGTAGGAGTCCATGGAAATATCGCCTGCTTCAGCAGAGTTTGCACAAGTTCAGCCTGGTTGCTACAGAAACTCCTTTTTATAGCAGCGCCATGCTGCTTTGTTAGAAGGCTAGGGATCTGTGCATTGATAGGGGTGACTTAGGCACCCTAGGCACGTAGCAGGTGCTGAGAGCAATGTGGGTGGCAGTATCTTCTCCCTCTCCATCGGGGTGGTCACTTTGTGGAGGAAAGGAAGTGACCGCAGCTGGGGTGGGGGAAAGTGGTGGCGGCTGTTCTGCTGGCTAGCGTCACACCAAAGCACTTGCGCTTGTAGGGGTGTGCCTCCCTTCCCGCTGCCCCATGATTGTAGCCGGGGGTCAGTCTGCCAGGGCAGCACTGAAAGTCACTTCAGATACTGCAAAACTGATCTGCGTGGTACACAGAGCAGGCCTCTTGGAGGTGCAGGTGCCTCACTGCGGCTTCCTCCTGGGGCTGGGGAGGAACTGTTCCAGGGACTGTTGCAAAGCAATCTACCCTGGCAGGGGAAGACGCCTTCCGTATTAATCAGGCTTAAGCTCAGGCCTCCGGGAAGAACTTTCTCCTGAGTGGTCTGAGAGCCCTTGGAGCTCCAGTAGGCTGATTCCTGCCCTCCTGTAATCCCAAAACAGCCAGCTGGCTTTCCCTGGCACCAGGGGCCCGTACGTGCTCCATGGAGCACCAAACTGATGGCTGCCTGCCCATCACTGGAGCCATCCTCCAGGCTAGTGATGGGGGAAATTGGCAGTCTCAGACTAAGCTGTGGACAGCAGTGCTAGCGCCCTGGATAACGACTAGCGTACCAAGCATTTTGGGCCGTGCCCGACGGGCACCATGGTACTGAACCGGAGGTAGGGACCTGAGAACAGCATAGTTGGACGTGGATGCGGGGTTGCTGCCACCCCACCTGGCTTGAAGCAGTTTGCATCCTAGCCAAATGTGAATGCTGTATAAATGGCCCCAGCCCCAGAGTGCGGGAACAATGGGTAAGCAAGCCAGCAATGTCGGGGTCTGAGGGTATTTCCTGCCATTGTTACCACCATCGTGTGTGTAAGGGGCAATGCCCTGCAAAGCTGTGTTGTGGGGCAACTTCTTGCTGCTGTTGCACTGGGCCTCACGTGATCAGCTGGAGCAGTCTCTTGATGGTCTTTCTCAGTCCACATCCTGCCAGGCCATTCTCATGAACTACTGCCGCCGGTATGGCAGCACTCTGCTCTTCGGTGGGATAAAAAGCCTTGGTACATTGCGCAGTGGCAGGCTAAAACTGTGAGTGGCATTTTGAAGAAGCAGCAAATAAAAAACCAGACGTTTAAGCAATATAGATCACAGCTCCAGTGGGGACTTGAGACATGAAGATTGTGCAGCGCTAAATAGCCTCTGAATCTATAGAAAATTCAACTGGAAAGTAGTCTGGGGCGCTCCAGTGACCTCCTTGCAAACCTCTCCTGAGCAGTTACCTAGTTTGGGGTCTGTAGGACGCATCCGGCACACGTCGGGTACTGTTAACCACAGCTGTAATGCAGCATATACCTCATGCACAGGGTGTGGAGCTCAGTGGAGTACTCGGCACTGGGGATACTAATGGGCTCAGGGGCTCAGGCCTGAATATGCAGGCTGAGCACCTTGCAGGAGTGAACCCCCCTCCGGTGAGTGCACAGAATTAAAGCCTCCGTTTTGCATTCCTCCCTGCCATCCAGTCTCTATGGGGGGCTACAAGCCCTGCAGTGCAAATAGGGGAAGGGCGTTTGACGGCGCATAGTCTGGCCCACAGCAAACTTGTCATCTGCACCTGGGGAAGGAGCATCTCGTCTGCAGGATCCATGCTCACGTATCCAGAGCAGTTGGTTGGCAGTACCGTTGCAGTCATGGCGTTGTCCTGGAGGCTGCATTCGCAGTCCAGCTCGGTGGGCAGCCCATTCGGGTTGGGGGGCCTGCAGGACATTTTGTTTGCCACGGTCCACACACAGGGTTACCAGGTTCCACTGGCTTCCACTCATGTCGCTTTTTCTTATTGGCATTGAAGTGCCCTGCATGTGGAGCAAGGGCATGCAAAGTCAGGTGTGTGCTAACTGCACCAACATTGACCATGAGCAGCATGCCCCCCTGCATCCAGTCAGAGCTGCTGTCAGCACACCTGCACGCTCTAGGTACTCCAGCACCGTAGCAAGACTCCTCTGTCCTGGGAGACTCTTGGTTGTAACAATCCTGTGACCCATTCGCTAGCCTCAGTTGCCCATCGCTGTCTAGCTGCTGTGCACCCTGCACTGAGGGAAATGGGAGAGGCAGGAGTGGCGCTTGCCAGGTGGCCGTGGCTGGCTGGAGACAGGCTGGTATCAGCATGCTGCTGTTTGTTTCCTTGTGTAGCAAGACTCCTCTGTCCTGGGAGACTCTTGGTTGTAACAATCCTGTGACCCATTCGCTAGCCTCAGTTGCCCATCGCTGTCTAGCTGCTGTGCACCCTGCACTGAGGGAAATGGGAGAGGCAGGAGTGGCGCTTGCCAGGTGGCCGTGGCTGGCTGGAGACAGGCTGGTATCAGCATGCTGCTGTTTGTTTCCTTGTCTGCACCTCCCACAGCTGCAGTGTCTTGCCTCTCAGCACCTGGGCAGAGCTTTGGGGGGGG